ATAATACATATATATATATATATATATATAGTTTCAATAATGGATACATTAAATATTCGTTATCCAATATATATATATATATATTGGATTTTGACATTTTGACATTTGACATTGACATTTTGACATTGACAGACCACGATACAGAAATAGGTACGACCTTTTTTAGTTCGGATGTCAGATATTACCTGTAATAACCAATAACTACTTGTAAATAACTGTTGATTAAATTCAATCATTCATTGCAGTTTCATGTAACAATATAGATCTTAAGAATTTGAGGTACAGTATAAACATGAATGCTGGAAGGGTACATCAATCATTTTACCAGAGGGAGACTTTGTACAAAAGTCGATTGCTTGGGTACCTCTGTCCCATTCGTGTTTCAACCGTGAAGAAGTCGTGTTTGCATGGCTGTGTTTCGGTTTGAAGGGTGGCATATGGCGTGAATTTACTGGGTACAGAGGAATAACACCTGAGTCCTCAGGAATGGCAACGCATGGGTGGTATCATGGGTGAAACAGTATACTCTGTTATGTCCATGGTACTGCTCATGTCTATAGGCGACGGTTACCACTTTCCATCAGGTGGGCCGTCAGCTTGTTTGCCATTCTAAGTTGTATAAAAAAATCATATTAATCTATATCTTCTATATTTATAATAAATCTGTAGAGAGGTCAATTCTGTACATGAAATATATTTCCAAAATAACTATCAGGGGGTGATCAGTGATCGATACTGATGCCAAAAATACAATCAGAAACTTTTTTGTCTGTCTGTCTGTATGTTCGTTATACAAACAAAAACTACTCGACGGATTTTAACGAATCTTGGTATAATTATTCTTCATTCTTCTGGCCAGGTTATAGTATACTTTTCATCACGCTACGATCAATAGGAGCAGAGCAGTGAAGGGAAATGTGTCTGTTACATCAAAACCACTGAACCGTGAGGAAAGGACATAAGCTACTTTTTTTACGAAAATCGACGGAAACGCAGACGAAGTCGCGGGGAACAGCTAGTGTTACAAAAAATAGCTTAATTTTTATATAATACATACAGAGTCGATCAACACAAAACAAAAAAAAAAATATTAAATTAAAATGATATTTATGTCAAATCCAAAGCAATGTTTACTGCTATATACGTATATACATAGTTAGCAATATTTTTTTTTTCTATTCCGTCCTCAATATATAGAAGAAGTCGATATATAGATATTACAGCGGTACTAATATGACCCGTGCCTAAAACATTCCATGGTACAGACATGTCATTACGACCCTACCTAGTGACAAGTGGACGTGATCATGTTACGAAAACCAACTGTTACATTTCGCAAGTTTTTACATAGTATTTAACTACGTTCATGTTAAGAGGGGAAGGGATTGTTAGTAATGCGAACTACTAGTTCCATTGCCAGCAATGCACCCTGTCAGGTCGACATCCACGTGGTCCCCCTTGGAAGCCATCGTGATGAGTGCACCTGGAATATAGCCAGAGATCAACCTGGTTAGGCATATTGCTAGCAAAGGGATTCTCAATTTCCATTACTAATAATCCCTTTCCCCCCAATGTAGATCAGTTAGTTCGTCGTGATAAATTCACCTAGAATTTTCGGTAAGCGAGTAAAAAAAGAAATTTTTAAATATCGAATAGGATTAATAAATATGCAAATCATGTCATTATTCGGCATCTGTGTTCGTTATTTATGAGTCACGGCGCGAAATGAGGGACCTTGACAGTCGTACATAGGCACGGCCATGAATATTGTTCGACGCTGGTTGTGTAGAAAACGCGGCCGGTTGCGTAACCAATAGTTAGTAACGCATGCGAAATTACCGGATTAATCTAGTCTGCTCCGGTACATATAGCTAAGTTAAGGTCAAAATTAAATATATTACTAATATGATAAAATTATAACTAGACCATACCTATTGTATCTTTCAAATACTGTGCCACTGTGTTAGGTTGACTGGAAGAGATCTCTTTTAGAGATAAGTTCGCCTTTGCTAACATTGTTATTAACTTATTGTTGTTACTGTATGTTTTAGTGCAATAAAGAATATATATATATATATATATATATATATATATAATATTAAATATATATATATAATATTAAAGAAAAATTTATATGAGGCGGTCTTAAAGACGAATACATCACTACATAGTATAAAACAAAGTCGCTGTCGCTGTCTGTCCGTCCCTATGTATGCTTAAATCTTTAAAACTATGCAACAGATTTTGAAGTTTTTTTTAAATAGATAGAGTGATTCAAGAGGAAGGTTTATATTTATAATACATGCGTAATATAGTAGAGGAACACTGATAATTTTAGAGGTCTCTAATGTAATGTGATGTAATGTGCACCTGTGCGAAACCGGGGAGACTCGCTAGTGTCAAAATAACACATTTTAAAAATTTTGTCTTCTCCGTTTGTATGTTTGATTTGGTATCATGCAAAAACTACTACACCAATCTGGATACGATTTCTATAGTTGCAATCCTAGAGATCAGGGGGGAAAGGGTTTGTTAGTAATGAGGTCTAATAGCCCCGTTGCTAGCAATTGACCCTCTGAGGTCGACCACCACGCGGTTCCCCCCGGAAATTTCCGAATTCATCATGGTGGGCCAACTGACCTGCACTCATCCTGCCTTCATTCATACCGATAGCGCGGGCGGGGTTACCATTCCATTTTCATCTATTAAAAAAACTTAAGAACTTGTATATGTGCTATCACAATCTAGAATCTTACCAGAGGAAGACTTTGTACAAAAGTCTATTGCTTGGGTACCTCTGTCCCATTCGTGTTTCAACCGTAGAACAGTTGTGTTTGCATGGCTGTGTTTCGGTTTGAAGGGTGGGATATAGCGTGAATTTACTGGGTACAGAGGAATAACACCCGAGTCCTCAGAAATGGCAACGCATGGGGGGTATCATGGGCGAAACAGTATACTCTGTTATGTCCATGGTACTGCTCACGTGTATAGGCGACGGTTACCACTTTCCATCAGGCGAGCCATCAGCTTGTTCGCCATTCTAAGTTGCATAAAAAAAAAGGAATGTTAGTGTTTCCTTTAAAATATGACACTGAAGTGCAAAGTGAGCTTGTCATTCCAAGAAGTAATGACAAAATATCAAGTTGCAGTGCTTGAGTAGCTAAATAAAATAGGTACAAATCCTATATCATATTACGTATATGAAATGCAAAGCTTTGAAATAATAATGAGCACAGAATACTGATTAGTCATATTTTACAATTACACACGTGTAGCATTATTCATATCAGTTTTTCATTATCAGCTTTTTTTTTTCATATCACCCATGTGACAAACATGCAGTTAGCCCGTCTGATGATAAACGGTCAATGTAGCCTATAGACGCCTGCAATACTAGGGATGTGGGAACCCAATTGCTAGCAATAAACCTAATCATGTTGACTCCCTCGCGGTCCCCCATGGAAAACGTTGTGATTAATTTATTGTTGAATTTGTCACGATGAGCTAACTGACTTACTTTTTTTTTGGAACTTAGAATGGCAAACTGATGGTCCACCTGATGGAAAGTGGTAACCGTCGCCTATAGATATGTAAAGTAGCATGGACATAACAGAGTATACTGTTTCGCCCATGATACCTTCCATGCGTTGCCATTCCTGAGGACTCAGATGTTATTCCTATGTACCCTGTAAATTCACCACCATTCAAACCGAAACGCAGTCTTCCATCCTCAAGTATAATCTCTCACTGGTGCCTCGACAGTGCATACCGTTAACTCAGGGTTACTACTCCATTATCTAATAAGGTATATTGGGGTAGTAGGGATTGTTAGTAATGCGTACCAGTCCCATTGCTAGCAATATACCCTGTCAGGTCGACATCCACGTGGTCCCCCTGGAAACCATCGATCTGAATTCCAAGTTTATTCTTCGCGATCGGCTAACTGACGTACCTTTTCATTCTCACCTATCATCCCTCAATGGTGCCCCGCCAGCGTATACCGTTAGTGCGGGGGGGGGGGGGGGGGATTACAATTCCATTATCATCCATTAAAAAAATAGGCTATATTGCTAGCAATGGACTGTAATGGCCAAAACAACGTTTGTTGGGTCGGTTAGTTATATATAAAAGTAATAAATACCCCAACTTAGATCCGGAATCCGAAATAATCCGGAGAAAGTAACAAAGGCTTGAAATACGATTTTTTTACTTAATAGCCCACATACATGCAAACTCGTGGCGATAAATTTTATTTCGTAAATGCCTACAATATATTTATGAGATTTTCTTTAAATGCCTATTCAATAGGCATGGGTAATATGCATACCGATCCGATACCTATATATTGGGTTCCTCTGAACACTGATGGCGGAACAAAGGTCATCACCCATTTCGACATTACCCACATCGATCAAATATCTATTTTCGAATTTGTTAAAAGTTTGATATCTAATATTAATTTTTGGATTTTTTTTATACAACTTAGAATGGCAAACAAGCTGACGGCCCACCTGATGGAAAGTGGTAACTGTCGCCTATAGACATCAGCAGTACCATGGACATAACAGAGTATACTGTTTCGCCCATGATAGCCCCCATGCGTTGCCATTCCTGTGGAGTCAAGTGTTATTCCTGTGTACCCAGTAAGTTCATGCCATATCCCACCCTTCAAACCGAAACACAGCCATGCAAACACAACTGCTTCACGGTAGAAACACGAATGGGACAGAGGTACCGAAGCAATCGAATTTTGTACAAAGTCTTCCTCTGGTATAACAGACTTTTAACACATTCGTTATTTAATCAGTAAATATTGCTATATGTTACCAACCCTTACTTTTGAGTATAAAAATAATAACTATGGTAACAACCATATTGTCTAATTTTTCTTTCTTATTTTCCAGGTAGAGCCAGGATTTTTTTATGTATGAAAGTCGCCATGGTATAGTACATTTTCTAAAAAAAAAAAAAACATAATGTTGCCACTTTTTTTATTTCAGATAGTACGAGTGAGCTCAAGCGCATCTGCGGTGCGAGCGGACTCTACACAACTTCTTTATGGCTTAATAAACGAAATAAATCCAGTTTTTATAATATTAACCCCCGTTTATTCTCTCATTGCTTAATTATACCATAAATCTTCCCTTTTCGGTACAGTAATGTGAGTTTTAATGCCTAATTGCCGCAAAATACATCCAGATAGAGAAAATGGCGTTTTAGCCATTCCGGTTTGTCTATGGTCTGCATCGAGCAAAACGCTAGTGTTGTTCCAACTGAGGGATTTATTTGACAACCATTTTGTACTATTAATATGTATTTGTAATTAATGTTTTTTAATAATATTGTTGAAATAATATGAAATAATTTTGAGTAATTCTAAATAGGAAAAATGCATTTATATTGATGTTAGTTTAAAGGTGAGGTGAAAGGTAAAGAGGTGAGTTTAAAGTCGATTGCTTGGATATCTCTGTCCTATTCGTGTTTCAACCGTGAAACAGTTGTGTTTGCATGGCTGTGTTTCAGTTTGAAGGGTGGGATATAGCGTGAATTTACTGGATACAGAGGAATAAAATCTGAGTCCTCAGAAATGGCAACGCATGGGAGGTATCATGGGCGTAATAGTATTCTCTGTTATGTCCATGGGACTGCTCATGTCTATAGGCGACGGTTACCACTTTCCATCAGGTGAGCCGTCAGCTTGTTTGCATTCTAAGTTGTACAAAAAAAAAGGTTAAAATTTCTTGTAGAGAGATGGCAAATTACCGAATGATTGAATGTGAGTGTTTTAGTAATCTAGGATTGTTTCATAGCTAGTGTCGAGTGCTATCGGGACTGATAGTAGTCCTTACGTGATATCGTTATATAGTAGTATGTTTCTAGTTTCTAATCGGAAAGTACTAACATACCTCACTTAGGAGTAAAGTATGTTATTACTTTCCGATACGGTATGGGTACCGTAGAGACTTAAACATTTTTAAAATTTGTATGCCTCCATACATAATTTTTCCCGACAAAATTTACTTGATGACTCTAAACGCCCAGTTGATATTTTGGTAACGTCAAACGAAATTATACCTAATAAATATTTATAGATTTTTTTTAATTTACTTTTTTGTTAAATTTGGCACCGATATCTACTCTTAGCATTGCATTTAAGTGGCCAGCAAAAGGGTTAAAATAGCTTCGAGTCCATTTTTTAATTGTCCCACCTTAATTATCAAATTGACCCGCTGTGGGGGTCGTGGACCCCACGTGGGGAACACCGGCCTAGACGGTCGGGTACGCGGTTTCAGATATGCTTCCCCTCATGAACGCTCAAATTATGGAATGAGTGTCATAGTTTTCCTAAGAGATACACAACATATTTCTAACAGTACGGGTTTTTTTTCAAAATAGAGGTAAAAAAGTTTTTTTAGGATCGACAAAACGCGGTATGCCTTTGATATAGCAGGCGTTCATAGGCTACGGTAATAGCTTACCATCAAATGGGCCGAATGCTTGTTTGCCACCTCAGTGGTATTAAAAAAGAACGCTCAAAAACCATGACATTTTCATTTAGACTTAGAGCTTGCATTTTTAAAAACATAAGGAACATCACTATGCGTTCAATCTAATTGTCGTTATGTACTAAACACAATAGGCACATCACTAACGCTACACTAACATGCCAGGCACGTAGCGTGACGTCACGCGTTATTAAACTATAATTAAAAGTTTTATAGTTCATTTGCTGCACTAAACCTTCCTGATGTGTCACCCGCGTGTAAATTATGCATATTGCTACACGTCAATCGGCCAACGACTTTTGTTTGTTAACTTGAACAATACTATTTTGTACCAACTCGACGGCCTTTGACCTTATTGTATATGTATGAGAGTCTAATATTGCTTGTTTTATAACAGTATAGCGACCCACTTAAATTAATTTCTTTTTATATTTGGCGAGGCAAAGGAAACTGATTCGGCATAGTCTTCTTTTGTGTATGATCATATTCTATACTAGATATATAATTATACGGAACCTTAGTAAAGTAAGAGTGTTATTTACGAACAATAAATCCTAGATATAAATTCAGGGCTGTAATAATGGATAAGATAATATCATAACTACCTTATGTGCATATATGTATATATACGTATATATATATATATACACTACACATTTACATTTATTTACATCACACTATAACTCACACTACCCTACCCACTCACACATATATACCTCTTTACAATTATTTACCATGGAATTGTATTACTTAATCACTGCTGTGAATGTCTGAACTGCAGCAGAATTTTTTTTTATGCAACTTAGAATGGCAAACAAGCTGACGGCCCACCTGATGGTAAGCGACCCACAGGTCGTAAAACACTAACCTAGATAATTAAAAAACATGTCATAAATTGTTTCCTTAGGGAAAATATTTCTATACACAACTGGTCACATTTATAATAGTAATTATAGTAATCAGTAATTTTCCGTTTAATTTAATTAAACTGTACCTTTACATGTTTATTACATTATACATACTACATGCTAGCATTATATACTTACAAACAAGGTGATCGTACATAAAATCTATGTATATAACTAGCTGTTGCTCGCGACTTCGCCCACGTCAATTTCTGTTATTATGATAAGGATTAATATAATGTTGATGAGGGGGGGGGGGAGTTGGGGGATTGTTAGCAATGGAGTTTGATAGCCCCATTGCTAGCAATATGCCCTATTAGGTCGACCTCCACGTGCTTCCCCCTGGAAACCGTCGTTAACAATTCTTGTTGAAATCGTCACGATGAGCTAACTGACCTGCTTCATCCTCACCTATCATCCCTCACTGGTGCCCCGCCGGTGTATACGGAGCGCGGGTGGGGTTACCATTCCATTACCATCCATTAAAAAAAACATGTCTGTTGTTACGCAATAAATTGTGGGTTTTTTAATGGATGATATTGGTATGGTATCCCCGCCTGCGCTAACGATATACACTATCGGGGCATCAGTGATAGATGACAGGTGAAGATGTAGGCAGGTCAGTTAGGCCACCGTGACAAATTCAACTAGAATTAACCACGATGGATTCCAAGGGGAACCACGTGGAGGTCGACCTGATAAGGTATACTGCTAGCAATGGGGCTGTTAGAACCCAGTAGTACACAGTGGTAGTAGTTTTTTTTTAATGGGTTATAATGGAATGGTAACCCCGCCTGCGCTAACGGGATACGCTGGCGGAGCACCAGTGAAGGGTGATAGATGATAATGAAAACAGGCCAGTTAGCTCATCATGATGAATTCATCAGGAATTAACCATGATAGTTTCCAGGGGGAACCGCGTGGAAGTCAACCTGGTTGGGTATATTGCTAGAATGACATTCTAAGTCCCCAATACTAGCAATCCGTTTCCCCCCTAGAGTATAGGTTGTCAGGTATTATGTTTTTTTTTAATTCTTGCTCATTTCTCACTTTGACGAGATTGAGATCACTCTTTCTTTTTACGTGAAATTAGACATGAAATTTAATAATTATTATTTGATTAATATATATTTTTTTTATTTTCTTTTCTCAGTGAACAATAAATAAAAGAACAGACTTTACTTTCGTATTGTTCCCATATAATTCATAATGCCATTAAAGTCATTAATAAAATTAAAAAAAAAAACCATTGTCTGCAATTACTACCTATAAAAATTGTGTACGGATATATTTTGGTAAAGAGAAAGCTAGTCCTTTCCAAGCATTAATTAATTGACCATTAATCGTAACCGGTTTAGACAAATTGGCAAACCTGTGTCGAGCCGCCGTCCGTTACTTGGGGCCATTGTTTCGCCGTGTACACATATAAATGCAGATGTATGGTTTATATGCACGTATATGTATGCAGCACACAATTTATGGCGGTACAACAGACATGTGTTTTCAAATCTTCCAATACATAAATTTATTGAGTTTTCACTGTTTGCTCATTCATGACATCTGTCAATTAGTACTACTAACTACTACCACTAGGGGGGAAAGGGATTGTTAGTAATGGAGACTGAGAATCCTATTGCTAGCAATATACCCAACCAGGTCGACCTCCTCGCGGTTCTCCCTGGAAACTATCACGGTTAATTCCTGATGAATTCATCATGATGGGCTAACTGGCCTGTTTGCATTCTCATCTATCGCCCTTCACTGGTGCTCCGCCAGCGTATCCCGTTAGCGCAGGCGGGGTTACCATACCATTTTCACCCATCAAAAAAAAACCTATACTCTAAACTTAAGAAAAAGGAATTACATAGAAGGAATGATAACATAAAAACTGTAAATCATATGGTTGCCTCCTTTCTTCTTATGCAAATATAATTTATATTTATATTCATAGCAGGCTAGTGTATAGAAAATGTATGTGTTTTTTTTTGCAAACACAACTGCTTCACATGTCAATTATTTGTAGAAACACGAATATATTCGGGACAGATCTGAATTTGGTAGGATTATACGGCCAAGCAATCGACTTTTTTTTATATGTACAAATTGTCTCTCCGAGTAACACAATATGTGAATTATGGTAAAAGTATATATTATCGATTATAACAAACAAGCTAAGATTTAATCGGTCAATATTTTGCATAAAATTAGGGTTTACCAAAAAAATTTTACATCTAAAACGTGACAGAACATCAGAGAACACCGGATGTTAATCCTATGCGCGTCGAATATGTCGATAACTGTTATATAGGCGTACATAGACGGGAAGACCGTACGGGCTGGCCCGTCTTAGAAACGTCCGGTGCCCACCCCAGATTACGAACAAAGCTTCGCAAGAACATGCATTTTTTATACAATTTAGAATGGCAAACAAGCTGACGGCCCACCTGATGGAAAGTGGTAACCGTCGCTTATAGACATGAGCAGTACCATGGACATAACAGAGTAGAGTATACCTAAGAGGCATGTCTACATATAGGCCTTTTTCAAGGAGTCAATATGCCCCTGGGAAATAATCTTAAATACCCCAATGGTCTGTTATCAGTTTAAAAAACATGTTATTCATTATCACTTTTAATCAAAGGTTGCCTGTAAGAGATTGCCCTAGCGATAAGACCGCCTTTTGTACCTT